GGGATGGCCAAGTGTCGTTTGACGAATTCTACAAGATGGTGACGGGCGGAAGGAGCCGCCATCAGGTCTCGTTTGTGGCAGCCGGCGACGGGAAGTCGCTGCGATCGGTACTGCACACGACGACGACGTGCTGCTGGCTTACTCGAATGTTTAGCAACGGGTGCGGGCGCAGCGTCGTCGATCCAGTTGCGCAACGAGCGCAAGAACATTCTCGAGGAGTTCGCGCAAGACAACAATATCAAGCCCGAGTCGGTCAAGAAGGCCTACAAGCGGTTCCAAGCCACCGACAAGGACGGGTCGGGGCAGATTGACTACACCGAATTCTGCGAAATCATGCTTGTGGACCCGTCGCCGCAGTGCGAGAAGCTCTTCCAGCTCTTTGACAACGACAAGGTTGGCCGCATCGACGTGCGCGAGGTACAAATGCAGTGGTTCGAACCAGTGTGGACAGACTGTCTTGTAGTTTATGATCAGTCTCTCCAACTTCACGGGCGCCGAAAAGGAAGAGAAGCTCAAATTTGCCTTTATGATCTTCGACGAAGATGGCAACGGCGTCTTGACCAAGCACGAGCTCATGCGCATCTTGAAGGCGAATCACATGGCTTCCAACGAGTCCGAGGTACTACACACAATCGTGAAATCGGATGTGACATCGTTGGGGTAGGTCGCACGAAAAGCAGACACAATCATGTCCCAAGGCGATAAGGACGGCGACGGTGTTATTTCATTTGACGAGTTCGCCCTCGTGAGCAAGAAGTTTCCCAACATTCTCTTCCCCGCCTACACCCTCACGCAGCAAGCTGTATAAAACTCTCGCGCCAACACAACTACTTCTATCTAGTCACGTCCTCGTAAACAACGAAATGAATAATCACGTCCATTGTGGTTCCTAAAGACTCTTGATCAATGCCTCATGTATGTTGGCCACTATCGTGCACGTCATTGGCTCCTTCTGTTGTGAATTTCAACCAATCCTGTGCGAGCTCGATGTCATCGCCTTGGGCGAGCCTGCGAGATCGACCAAATTGCGTTTCAAAATGGAATTGCTCAAACTTGGCACACCGGTAAAGGACACTTTGGAGAGCACGAAATGCTATGCCACGTTGACGTGTGAGCTGTACCGCAAGTATTGAGGGCCACAACATTAATAGTGGCACATGCCACATTTAAATTTGCGATGTGTTTATTTGAGGTATATCTGGCAATACGTGGCGTTTACCACGAGTCAGATTATGACCCATACCGCTTGCTACACAGCTCGCACGTCAACATGGCATAGCATTTCGTGCTCTCCAAAGTGTCCTGTACCGGTGTGCCAAGTTTGAGCGATTCCATTTTGAAACGCAATTTGGTCGATCTCGCAGGCTCGCACCGGCCTCGCACAAGGCGAAGGACTAGTGCTCGCACAGGATTGGTTGAAATTCACAATAAAAAGAAGCCAATAAAACGTCTTGATCCGGCGCGTCCGGTTACCGCACTCTTCTATCCGTAGCAGGCGCGAGATGATTGTTGGTTTGGACGCGCGATGTTGCTCCTACAAAGATACGCCGGCCGCGCCGCGCCGCGCTGGCCGACGTCTGTGCTTGGCGCAATGTCGATTCCGAGCGCCTTGAGCTTTCGGTCGTTTAGCGCATCGGGCGATGACAGCGACCTTGTGCGCCTCAGCAAGCTCATGTCGATGAAAGGTGCATCCTTGGCATTCTCACCGACCGGCGCAGATCCCATGCCTTCAACACTAGGCATTTGCTCACGCCGCGAAGCCGACAACTACATCCAGAGCGGCAACGTTCGCGTGAATGGCGAGATTGTGCGTCGAGGTCTGTATCCGATGAAGACTCATTTGGGTGTAGATTTCGGAACTCGGCTCCAAAGTCCACCCGACGAGCCAAATTGAACTCAGCCGCGACGCCAACACGCACCGAAAGAGCAAGGTCACTGTGATCCTCAACAAGCCGCTCAACCTCGTATCGTCGCAACCCGAGAACGGCCACGCGCCTGCGATCAAGCTTTTGTCCCCCGAGAACGAGTTCAAGGAGCTCAGCGTCCAACAACCCTTCCTTCTCGATGGCCCGATGAAGATGAACGTCGAGCGTTTTGGGCCCTTGGCGCTCCCTAAAATGGCCGTTTGTGGCCGCCTCGATGTCAACTCGACCG